TGCCCCTGTGGATGGACACGTTTTCGTGTTGGGACTGGATATAATACATACACTTGCTTGTGTACCTTTTTTTTTTTTTTTTTTTTTTTTTCAAATATTCAAATATTTATTTAATTTTTCATATTTATAAATACATATAAAAAGGGAAAAAGGAAAGAAGAACATAACAAAACATTTCTTCGACGATCTCATATAACATATAAAATTTTTAGTCCTTTCTCCTTCTGTTTCCCCGTTTTTATATCCTTTCCCTCCACCCCTCCTCCCTACCACGTCCCACCACCCTCCCACTCTGCATTCTCTCTTACATCTTTCCCTATAAAACCAAGGAACTTCACTTATCACTTCCAATTGCTTCACATATATTCGTTTGATGTACAAAATCTTTCCATTTCCCCCATCTCCTATTGTATATCTCCATCTTGTCTTCTTGGATATAGTACAATTTCTCCATCCTACTAATCTGATTTACTCTCTCTACCCAGTCCTTTTCTCTCGGCACCTCTGAACTATGCCAGAATTTAGGTATCAAACCCTTTGCTGCATTCACATAGTACCATATACCCAAATCTTTGTATTTATTCACTGGTAGCTCTGTATTATGTAATAAGCACACTTCTGGATCGAATCCTATCTTTATCCCTGAGATTTTCCTTATTAAGTTGACCATTGTCTCCCAGAAGCTTTGGATCTTTGGGCACTCCCACCATATATGAAACCACGTACCAATCTTTCCACACCCCCGCCAACACTCTTGTGTTCTCTCTATACCCATTTTATGTTCAACACGCGGTGTGATGTGCCATCTTGCCAAACACTTATAATTTACCTCCACCTCTCTCATGCTGACATTTTCGAGTGTAAGTCTATATATTTTCCTCTGTTTATCCTCATCTATCTCTATCCCCAAATCCCTTTCCCATTTTTCTATGTACATTGGTTTTACTTCCGTGATTAACTCTGTGAGAATCTTATACATTTTTGCCGGCTTGTGTACCTTTTCTGAGTACATTGACATTTGGTTTTATTTAATAAAAAGTCTTCTGGTAATGCACAATGCCGGGGAGCCTTCTGCTGCTGCTTGTATTTCAGTATTGGTCTCCCTTAACTGAAGTGGACAGCAAGGCTGATGTTGTACATTTACAGTCAGGTCCATAAATATTGGGACATCGACACAATTCTAACATTTTTGGCTCTATACACCACTACAATGGATTTGAAATGAAACAAACAAGATGTGCTTTAACTGCAGACTGTCAGCTTTAATTTGAGGGTATTTACATCAAATCAGGTGAACGGTGTAGGAATTACAACAGTTTGCATATGTGCCTTACACTTGTTAAGGGACCAAAAGTAATGGGACAGAATAATAATCATAAATCAAACTTTCACTTTTTAATACTTGGTTGCAAATCCTTTGCAGTCAATTACAGCCTGAAGTGTGGAACGCATAGACATCACCAGACGCTGGGTTTCATCCCTGGTGATGCTCTGCCCGGCCTCTACTGCAACTGTCTTCAGTTCCTGCTTGTTCTTGGGGCATTTTCCCTTCAGTTTTGTCTTCAGCAAGTGAAATGCATGCTCAATCGGATTCAGGTCAGGTGATTGACTTGGCCATTGCATAACATTCCACTTCTTTCCCTTAAAAAACTCTTTGGTTTTGCAGTCTGCTTTGGGTCATTGTCCATCTGCACTGTGAAGCGTCCAATGAGTTGTGAAGCATTTGGCTGAATATGAGCAGATAATATTGCCTGAAACACTTCAGAATTCATCCTGCTGCTTTTGTCAGCAGTCACATCATCAATAAATACAAGAGAACCAGTTCCATTGGCAGCCATACATGCCCACGCCATGACACTACCACCACCATGCTTCACTGATGAGGTGGTATGCTTAGGATCATGAGCAGTTCCTTTCCTTCTCCATACTCTTCTCTTCCCATCACTCTGGTACAAGTTGATCTCGGTCTCATCTGTCCATAGGATGTTGTTCCAGAACTGTGAAGGCTTTTTTACATGTCCTTTGGCAAACTCTAATCTGGCCTTCCTGTTTTTTTTTGGGCTCACCAATGGTTTACATCTTGTGGTGAACCCTCTGTATTCACTCTGGTGAAGTCTTCTCTTGATTGTTGACTTTGACACACATACACCTACTGTTTTAGTCATGGACTTAATCATCCAGTGCTTATCTGTTCCTGTCCAAAATTTATGAAGCTGGCCAGCTTTTGGAATGTGCGCACATAAAGAAACTCACACTGACACCTTTGGTCTGTGAAAACTTCTCTCTAATTTATTGAAATGAAACCGTGAGTTTATATATGAAAAAAAAAAATGATGCGAACATCACGTGGATAACAGCATAAGCATTATATTAGTCTTTGATTGGTCACTTTACACGAAAAACAATCTCCGTCATGGTATAGGTGTGATCTTCTTCAGTCTTATCTTAAAAAGAACCCATAGAAAAACATTCTTTTGTCTTCCAAAATCACACGATGGGAGGGGGTCTGTTCCTGTGAGCAAATATTTCTTAAGCAAGGATTTCTTAAAGTACCACAAAGCCCAGCAGGCAGAAAATATTCACACAGTATATATTCATGCTAAACATTTATAAATATGTGGAAAGAAATAGTATTAAAGTATAAAAGTAAATATTTATAAAACTCATAGAAATAGCGTATATATATTATTCAATAGGAAACGAAATAGGCATTTTACCAAATCCATCACACTACCTCCTGGAGAGTGTTCTTGATCTGGCCAACTGTTGTGAAGGGTGTTTTCTTCACCAGGGAAAGAATTCTTCGGTCATCCACCACAGTTGTTTTCCGTGGTCTTCTGGGTCTTTTGGTGTTGCTGAGCTCACCGGTGCGTTCCTTCTTTTTAAGAATGTTCCAAACAGTTGTTTTGGCCACACCTAATGTTTTTGCTATCTCTCTGATGGGTTTGTTTTGTTTTTTCAGCCTAGTGATGGCTTGCTTCACTGATAGTGACAGCTCTTTGGATCTCATCTTAAGAGTTGACAGCAACAGATTCCAAATGTAAATAGCACAATTGAAATGAACTCTGGACCTTTTATCCGCTCATTGTAATTGGGATAATGAGGAAATAACACACACCTGGCCATGGAACAGCTGAGAAGCCAATTGTCCCATTACTTTTGGTCCCTTAACAAGTGGGAGGCACATATGCAAACTGTTGTAATTCCTACGCCGTTCACCTGATTTGGATGTAAATACCCTCAAATTTAAGCTGACAGTCTGCAGTTAAAGCACATCTTATTCTTTTCATTTCAAATCCATGGTGGTGGTGTATAGAGCCAAAAATGTTAGAATTGTGTCGATGTCCAATATTTATGGACCTGACTGTATATATTTATTACAGGTACTTGTATAGTGTCGTCAATTTACGCAGCGCTTTACATATATACAGTTAGGTCCATATATATTTGGACACAGGCACAATTTTAGTTTTTTTTTCAGGTACTTACCAAAACACATTCAAGCTATAGTTTATATAATGGATATGGGATGAAAGTGAACACTCTCGGGTGTAATTTGAGGGTATGTACATCCAAATTGGAGGAAGGGTTTAGGAATTACAGCTCTTAAGAGTAGCCATCCCCCTTTTTCAATAGACCAAAAGTAATTGGACAGTTGAATCAAAAGCTGTTTCATGGCCAGGTGTGGGCTACTCCTTCGTTATTTCTTCATCAGTTAAGCAGGGGAAAGGTTTGGAGTTGATTCTAAGTGTGGTATTTGCATTTGGAATCGATTTCTGTGAACCTACATCATGCGTTCAAAGGAGCTGTCGATGCAAGTGAAGGCCATTGTAATGCCCCGTACACACTGTAAGAAAATCATACGAAAATGTTCTTACGAGGACCGATCATCCGATAATCGGATTGTTAGTACACAGTTTTCGAGAGCCGATCATGACACTTCGTACGACAATATCCGAAGGGACAAGCGCAAAAATTTTTCTCGTACGATACCAGATTTCGTTTAATCAGTATAGTAGTCGTCTGAAAATACAATACAAATACAATGTAATACATGATCACTTTCAAAATTCTTTTCTTTTATAGGAAAATTTTTGTATCTTTAGTAACCTTTTCACTTTCGATGTGAGACTAGCAGGCGAAAAAAAACGGTCGATCGTTCGATATTCTTATCGTGTGTACGGGGCATTAGGCTTCAAAAATGAAACCAATCCACCAGAGAGATGGCAGCAACATTAGGAATGGCCAAATCAACCGTTTGGTACATTCTGAGGAAAGAAGCTCAGCAACCTAAAAAGGGCATGGATGTCCGCGGAAGACAACAGTGGTGGATGATTGCAGGATCCTCTCTATGGTAAAGAAAAACCCATTCACAACATCCAGACAAGTGAAGGACACTCTCCAGGAGGTGTTCCCTAACTCACATTCATACATACCCATACTAGGGCCGTGTTGGACAGGATCCAGTTAACCGACCAGCATGTCTTTGGAGAACATGGAGTGGAGGTTTTCAGTGACAGTTACCCTACCTTAACGACCAGATTGAAGAGGAGCCTGCTCTGAGCCTACACGTTGGCTCACAGTCTTGAGGGGCTTTCTTATCTGTAGCCCTGACAAGAGCAGGGGCGGACTGACAACTCATGGGGCCCCCGGGCAATAGGGGATCATGGGGCCCCTGTGTCCTTGCCCACACTCAAAGCCTATGAAAAAGGTACCAGGGGCATCTCATGGGGCCCCCTACTGACCTCGGGCAGTGCCTGAGGGCTCGAATAGTCAGTCCGCCCCTGGACAAGAGTGTTCATTTGTACAGGATTTACTGTGTTTGCTCTTTGCTTTCTGTCGCTCGAGATTCGTGTGCGTCCTGCCTTGGAGGTTTCTTGCGTCTACATTTGCGTCTTGAGGATGGCAACGCTGCCTTGCAGGGTTCCGTGGAGCCACCCTTGTATGTTTTCTTCAGCTGGTGATGGAGTGCACATGTGCCTCGTTTTCAGGAACTGGAGATGGTGATCATGTGACCATGGTGATGCCCCTGGGGTGTGCATGCTTCAGTCCTGGAAATGGTGTGCATGTGCTGCTTTAGCAAGGAGCAAGAGGGGCCAAATGTACAGCTGGCATGGGCAAGCTTGGAGCAGTAAGGGGCATGCGCTGAGCAAGTGGGATGAGGGATTGGACTGCTGATCATGTGACCTCTACACTGCGCATTCCATTCCCTCCCCGACCGCAAGTTCAAGCCAGCAGAATTGATGCACGAGGAAGTGCAGAACAAAGAGTAAATGAGATTGGAGATATATTTCCCAAACATAGCTAATGCTTTATGTTGCCTTATTGTAAATGGATGCTTGAAATGTATTTATTTCAGGTACTTATATAGCGCCGTCAATTTACGCAGCACTTTACATATATATTGTACATTCACATCAGTCCCTAACCCTCGAGGGGCGTACAATCTAAGGTCCCTAACTCACATTCATACATACACATACTAGGGACAATTTAGACAGGATCCAGTTAACCTACCAGCATGTCTTTGGAGTGTGGGAGGAAACCGGAGTACCCAGAGGAAACCCACGCAGGCACAGGGAGAGCATGCAAACTCCAGGCAGGTGGTGCCATGGTTGGGATTTGAACCAACGACCGTAGTACTGCCAGGCACAAGTGCTAACCATTTAGCTATTGTGCTGCCCCACATTGATCCAATTTTCTTCTGCTTTTACGTAAAGAAAGCTGAAGAAAAACGAGTGACCATGTATTCCTATGAAACTCTTCACAATGGTCCGTTTTATGGGCTCGGTGTTTTTTTTTTTTTTTTTTTTAAAGTCCTGCATGCTGCATTTTTGATGCGGTAAAAAAAAAGTGGTGCCATGGCTGGGGTTCAAACCAACGACCATTTAGCCACTGTGCTGCCCAAATAAAAAAGAATAGGCTTTTAACCTACTTTAAGAATCGCAACAATGACTCTGAATTTAGATTTAATTTGACTTCTAATAGCAGGTTACACTTTATTGCTGCCAGAGAAGTTGTAGGGAGATGAGCTGAATTCAGTTCCTCTGTTTGAAATTTGAGGATGAATTACTTCAGAGTGTCTGCAGCTACATTAATCGGCGTGGGTTTGTCTTAAAGCTATTTTACTGCCTTTTCAGATTCAGCGCATAGTCTGTGCACAAGTGCACTTAACCTGACCATGTCATATATAAAATGCTTTCAGGAAAATACATACTTGAAAAGAAGTGGTTAAATACTTTCTTTCCTCTAGCACTTCTGCTTGGCAGTATTCGGGTCGCTGGTTCGAAACCCAACCACGGTACCACCTACCTGGAGCTTGCATGTTCTCCCTGTGCCTGCGTGGGATTCCTCCGGGTACTCCAGTTTTCTCCCACACTCCAAAGACATGCTGGTAGGTTAATTGGATCCTGTCTACATTGGCTCTAGAATGTGTATGTATGAATGTGAGTTAGGGACCTTAGATTGTACACCCCTTGAGGGTTAGGGACCTTAGATTGTACACCCCTTGAGGGTTAGGGACCTTAGATTGTACGCCCCTTGAGGGTTAGGGACCTTAGATTGTACGCCCCTTGAGGGTTAGGGACCTTCGATTGTACGCCCCTTGAGAGTTAGGGACTGATGTGAATGTACAATATGTATGTAAATTGATGGCGCTACATAAGTACCTGAAATAAATAATAAATAACACTGGCTGCTGCTCTGTTGTGAAGCCTACTGGGAAACCTATCCATCCAGGAGTGTCCATCTTCATGGTCCAGCAGCTCCTACTGTTCTTTCTGCTGACCATCACATTACTGTGTCCTACATTGTCCTGAGGTCAGAAGTCAGAATTAATGGTGTGTCTTAATGCATCAAACCTGGCACAAACTACCATGCTTTAAAGGACCAGGGACATGCTGTTCCCCTTGACTAATACTGGCACATTTAATCCCTTTCAGGAAGCTGATAGAACACTTTGTTTTTTAATCAAATAGACAATCATAGGTCTAATCATCACATCGAAATATATTACTACTTGTAGTTGTCCCTCACAGAATTTAGGATGATAGCCAAGCCTATTTTTCACCATAGGTCATGTCTGAGAATTTTATTCCTCTCCACTTCAGATGATAATTCCACTTTTTCTCCTTCTGTATCTGAAGCTCTGACAGTTTTTATTGTCTCTCCCTGGGCAGGGGCACAGATTATCGATCTGATGATGCTGGTTATCGACGTGACAAAGGGCATGCAGACGCAGTCAGCCGAGTGTTTGGTCATAGGTCAGATTGCCTGCAACAAGATGGTGGTGGTCTTGAATAAAATCGACTTGCTTCCGGAAAACAAGAGGCAGGCAGCTATTGACAGAATGACCAAGAAGATGCAGAAGACACTGGAGAGTACAAAGTAAGTGGACCTTTTAGACAAGGCCAAAAGCCTAAAATGCGTACCTGAATTCGTGGTCACTTGATGCGCTGAGAATTAGGTCTTCTGTTTTCTCCATAGCAGAATGGAAGGGTTCTTCTTCGGGTGTCCACATTGCTGCCTAGGTGATGTGGACAATTCCTGCTGGATATCCAGCATCTCAGGCTCCAAAAGACATGTTTTGTAAGGGACCGCCCGGCGGTACCACCAGCACTCCACTGATCAGGCGTCCCCAGAGCACGGAATCTAAGCCCCAGAGTACTTGTTCACCAGGGCCCCTGATGGTGGGGATGGACTTGGAGTACCCTGAGACCAGGTCGTGGCTACTGAGTATACCTGTCAGTGGTAGGGGTAGTCGCCAGGGGCTCCCACGGGGAAGAGCCTGATATGAGGAGGTCGGGTGACCCCGTTGGGATGGATGGATGGCTGGCTGAGCAGATGCGAGGTCAGACAAGCCGGGTCGGTAACGGTGGGGACAGTGCGGTACAAAGCAGCCGGCAGAGATTAGTCGGGTCACACTCCAGGTCAGCAACAGAAGGTCAGATCTAATAAGGGGCATCCAGTAGAGAGGTCAGGCAAGCCAAGGGTCAGAGTAGGAGAATACAGCAAGGTCAGGTACAATCCGGGTCAGTAACTTATAGGGCACGGGTTCGCAGGTTCAGGGATACAGGAGAGACCAGAAGGCACTGAATGACAGCTCAGGGTCGTTTAAATATCGCGCCCTGCGCCGTCATTGGTGCCAAGCGCGCGCCCGCGGCTTCTACTGCGCATGCGCGAACCTGAACGCCGTGGCCGGCCAGGACCCAGCGCTCGCGTCCCTTTGCACAGGGCGGTGCACTGCGCCTGCGCCGGACCAGCGCCGCGGGGATCCCTGACATGTTTGTAATACAATATAGACCCTGAACATAGCTTTAGCTAAGTGTCGCAGTGCTGGAAGAATCCCAGAATCGGGGGCCTTATTAACATCCTGTTGGCAAGTAAGGCTGTTAGTCATAGTACTAGGCCTATAGAAACACACAAGAGGTGGGAAGAACTGTCTAGCTTTCAGCTCTCTCAGGAATTGTTGATAATAATAATAATGCGTCACTGTTGCCTCACGTTTTTGAAGTGCTGGTGAGGTCACCTAATGGTATGTCTGGGCATCTGTACATTTTTGTATTGTGATGGCACTGGAGACTTTTTCTTTCATTACCAGGGCCAAGTGAAGAGACGTACAACAATAGGAATACGACAAGAGTTCAATCCCTTTCTCACTCTAAAAAATATAAAATAAACGTTCTTCTTCATACATTGGGGGGTGGGCATAGGAAGCTCTTCACCTTCGGGTTATACTGCCACATACAGGACAATGGGACAATGGCAAACAAAACTGTAGGCAAGTCCAGGCTAACCCTTCCTACCAAGGGTAGATTAACAGCTTTTCTTCACCTGTGCTGTGTAAGACTAACCTATATTTATTTGCTAGCACCATTTTTTCTTACTCTTCAACATTTTTCTCAGTCAAGACTCTACATAGCTACTAGAACTGGTCTCTCCAAATTGCAGCTCTCTGAAGCGGCTATTGTCAGCCTGGCTTTTGTTTTCCACGTCCAAACCATGCTAGACTGGAAATTGCAGAGATGACCTGGAAGTGACCATCAGGCACTGGGTTCTGTGTAGGGTGCTCTTCAGATTCTGTTATGGTAGCAGGTTAGCATGACTTCCTGAGTTCATGAACCTGTCCATCCAGTTCATTAACATATGAACAGAGGAGGCCTAGCTTCCAAAAACAACACATATAACTAAAATGTTATTCCATGTATAGATCTATGCTATAAAAAATCACGCAAATAGCCACAGCAACACAATGGTCATGCTCTCTATACTGCTTTTCTGATAACGTGAGACATGCTAGTAGAAGGGGTCATCATTGGATGGCCTACACATTTATTTATTTTTTAATTCTTTATTCATAGCAACAGATACGCATAGCAACGAGGGCCAATAAGGTTAATAGAAAATCAGAACGTTGCATCAAATTGCATCAGTTATATGAAATAAAAGTAAACCTATCAAAGGGTAGCTTGAAGAGTAAAATGACCCAGAGAGGAGAGCACATCTAAAACACCCAGGAGGCAGACTGTCAGGGTCACGTCCACGGCTGAAGTTCTGGAAGATCTTGCATTTCTGCCAGTACCCTGTATGGCCGCAGAAGCACGCATCAGCCTCGGTTTGGTGCCAGACAGCCTTTATAAGGAGGCTCATCACTTCCTCAAGTTGCTGGATGATCTCTAGCTCTCCGTGCCTTGTTCCTGTTTCCTGTGATTGTGACCTGTGATTTCCTTGGCTTGCTCCTGGACCTGTCTACTCTGCTTTACCCCTGATCTGACCTCAGCTTGGCTTACGCATACTCTCTCTCTTGCTCCTCTGTGTATGACCTCAGCTATCCCATCTGACTACGTCTGCTCTGATTCCCACCTGGTACCTGACCTTGGCTTGAACCGACTACCCAGTAAACATCTAAACCTCAGAAGGGCTTGCATACCTCGCACAGGCGCCACCTGTCTGTAGACTTATTTCCATACATCGGCTGTGCTTCTGAGTGGACCACCAACCAGCACTCCTACAGGTGACCTGTGCAACTTTGGGCCTGACTCCTGCTGTCCCACTCTCAGGGGAGTCCGGAACTTAGCCGCAAGGAAAGCCCTCTCTCCATTGGCCTCCATCACCAGGTACGTGATACAGACCCTTCCTAAGGAGTCGTGAATTAAAACATGTTGGCAATCAATCCACTGAGGGGAAAGCATATGCCACTATCAAGGAACCATGAAGGCCAGGTAGCTTGCACTTTTTAATTTGCCAGTGTCCAATCCTCCTGTAGGCGGCAGTATGACCCGTAGGTGAAAGACTTCCTGTATAATAGACTCCAAAAAAAATATTATTTTACCGGTTTGTATAAAAATGTTATTTTTGCCTTTTAGGTATACTTTACAATAGGAGTGGCTTAATAGCAGCTATATAGAAAGTCTTAAAACCTTTATAATGGAAATATCTGATCTGTCGTCTTTACTGCACAGTTTTCTGCCGAAGAACAGTTGATCTTGTCCTCGGTGGCAGAAAACGATTCTGAACACTACATTAGTTTTTTGGCAGTCCCTCTAAAGAGAAAGCCTTCGTCGTATGAGCACCAAGCGTCACCTAGCTGTAGTCATTCTTCCCCGAGTCCGTTCAGCGGCTTGTTATTATTTGTTAAAATGAATACACCTGTTTCAACAATTGTTCCTCTTCACGCAATGTTCGTTTTTTTGCTGTTTGGATTAAGTGTAATTGAATTTCCCCAAGCTTTGTGGTTAATCTCTTTTGACTCTCCGTATGAATGTTCCCAATCAGAGCCGTGGGCAAACGGATTACACTCACTGGAAGTCACTGTTGTAGGCTCACGCTAAAAATTCAATGTGTATCGGAGAGGCTGGAGCCTGTGGAGACCCCCCCACCAGATCACAGGGACATCCTGCTCGGACACAGGAAGGGTGACCCCTCAATTTCACTACACTTTGAGCCAATTCCAGAAGCTTTGGCACTGGGTAGTAGTATTTAAACCAATATTACCAAATTTGCCAGTGCTGGGATCCGTTACACATACACCAGCTGCTGAATTATAATGGCTCATGTACACTGCAGCTGACTCACGTTTAAGAGCTGTTCAGCGTTTTTTTCAGCAGCCCCTGAACTCTCCCTAATGTTTTCCTATGTGTCCATGTACACATCGTCGTTTACAGGCATTTGAGTTTACAGTCGTTTTTTTGAACGCAGAAAACTTGCGTTCAGCAGTCGATTTTATCAGCGTTTCAAACGCAAAATGCTTGTAAACGTGGCAAATCGCGTTTATAAGCGTTTGCGTCTGAAATTTTTTTTAACTCTTCCAGTTCCCGATGCTGTCCAGAGCCTTTTTTCATCATGAAAAATGTATGCAAAGCGTTTTCAAGGTACTCAGATGTACAAAACACTGAACACAGGATGTTCCTACCTAGCTTGTCACACACTGTAATGACCAATTCACACCTCATACCTCTCCCACCCTTGGAAACAAAAGATATGTTAATGACCATTCACACCTCAAATTCCTCATGAAGACCCCCTGCCAGGTGGCCTTAATGACTCCCTCCACCAGACACCTTTCCCACCCTTGGAAACAAAAGAAATGTTAATGAGCAACTCACACCTAAGCTAATCTCAACAAATACTGCTGTCTCTGCTTCTACTCTCTGTATTTCTCTGAAAAAGTCTGAAATAGTTAATAATTTAACACTTTTCAGTACATTCTGGGCATTTGGGAGGTTCACCTGTGCTCATCTTTAAAAAAAAAACGCTTCTAAATGCAGATGCACATAAACGCGCATAAACGCGTTATGGAAACGCGGCTAAACAGACATTTTTTAACCTACGTTTTCCAGCAGTCAGTTTCCATCTTTCAGATAGCCAATGTGACACCATCCACTCCCATGCAAGGTTCACCAGACGGTTTGTGACCGCCTGCTAAGAGTGGTCAATCTGTGCTCTATAAAATATTGTTGATGACACCAAGAAAAATGGACTACTATACTCCTCCTCTGGCCACCCAAGGTGATGAGAGATGATCCTCCCAAATCTATCCCACTAGATATAATGGCTCCAACCACTCCAAGACGAGTTAATTGAAACTGGAGCTCGTAGTATTATGCATGTAATGAAAAATTACTCCACATAGTGTATAACCATCAAAGACCTGACATTTTTTCAAGTAAAATTGCACTCATATGATAAAGGGTACAAGTCATCATGTATAAATGCTAAAGCAAGTCTTTCCAGCGTCCAAAATGGTCACCAGCCGATCGTGCATGTGTGGTAGCGTGTGCGTGGCTCCGCCCTACGCGTTTCATCACAGATGACGATGGCCCCTGATGAGTTTTGAGTGCTGCACTTTATTTTAAACACTTTATATGAGGTGCCTGGCATCGAGGTAGAGTGTCCATGCTATATATTGGTGTTTGTTTTTCTCTGAGCGCAGATTGTGGGTTATACTGAAGTTCTGCTTTAAGCTGACTGCGTGTGCTCTATGACTTTCTGCTCTGTTATCAGTTACATTGTTATTTGTGTAGGCTAGATCAGCCTTCAGGGGTGCCTTGAGGTTTCTTCAGGGATGCCTTGAGGTTTCTTCAGGGATGCCTTGAGGCTTCTTCAGGGGTGCCTTGGCAAAATGTCTAAAAGTTGCACAAAACTTGTATACAAGCCAGCGGGTGGAACAAACCTGACTTTTAGTTTCACAAAGCCACAGGTTTTCATTGTGTGCCATTACAACCTTCTAGCCACCGGCATGCTGATAACCAATGACATCATCAGTTGATAAGGAGGACATCAGTTGCCTGCACAGCATCTTTTTTGACCCTCCCTTGCCCCTCTCCATCAGTGCTGGGGTCAAATTAGTGATGGAGAAAAACTGAGAGAAACACAGTAATACTAGTCAGGACCAGTGTGCAAAGTGTATTTGATTTGGAAGAATAAATCACTTCTAATGTTGGGTGTCCTACATGTGTGGATGTTGCCGCGTTTATATAAAACTATTAAAATATTTTTTTTACATTTTAGAATGGGGTGCCTCAAGACTGTCCATAATTTTAAATGGTGCCTCAAAACTGTCCATAATTTTAAATGGTGCCTCAAAACTGTCCATAATTTTAAAAGGTGCCTCAAAACTGTCCATCATTTTAAAAGGTGCCTCAAAACTGTCCGTAATTTTAAAAGGTGCCTCAAAACTGTCCGTAATTTTAAAGGGTGCCTCAAAACTTCCATAATTTTAAAGGGTGCCTCAAGACTGTCCATAATTTTAAAGGGTGCCTCGGGACTGTCCATAATTTTAAAGGGTGCCTCGGGACTGTCCATAATTTTAAAAGGGTGCCTCGGGACTGTCCATAATTTTAAAAGGTACCTCAAGACTGTCCATAATTTTAAAAGGTCCCTCGGGACTGTCCATAATTTTAAAGGTCCCTCAAGACTTTCCATAATTTTAAAAGGTGGTTCGGGACTGTCCATAATTTTATAAGGTGCCTCAGAACTGTCCATAATTTTAAAGGGTGCCTCGGAACTGTCCATAATTGTAGAACGTGCCTTAACCGAAGGTTGAGGAACCTTGGGCTAGAGAACACTCCATGTTATACACTGGAGAAGAGAGGAAAGGGTCTTGTCTTCTTAACACACTTCCTGTGGTAGGGTGATTCCGTGGCTCCTCCATAGCTACAGTATGGTAGTGAGCGTTGCCCTCCCAAGACAGAAAGTGTGTTACTAGCAGGATCCCCAGGTGAAAATGAAAGAAAACAGAAAAAAATAATGCAGCCACCACTTTTGAGGTTTGGTAAGAGCTGCAAGATACAACATTTTTTGGTCTGGATACATTTTCAGAAAATGAACTTACGAAATTATGTTTGTAGGAGTTTCATACAGAAGTGGAGTTGTCCAATTTAAAAATGGTGCCTTTGACTGCGGTAAATCTAGTCGTGTAACTTGAAGCTCCATGCTTCGTAAAGAGTGACCCAGCCATGTTTCTGTTTAATAAGAAAGGCCACGAGGTCTCTTTGGAGGATAACAACGAGCCTGACATTGGAGACAACGTTCACATGCTGAGCGCAGAACACCATCTCATGCCGAACGTGGCTCCCTCTCGTCTCCGCTAATATTGTCAAATAAATCCACATGTGGAGTCAATAAGATGCCAAGATCCAAAAATAATAATAGATTAGAGGATTTGACCCCCAACCCCCCCATTACCATTCAGCCCAGTGGTCATGTCCTTGCATTTGTGTGTCTTTTAGCCTATGCAATTAACTCTTTTGATGATAGAGATTGTTGGTCTGCCTTTCCTTTCCACTGTCCTTTTCATAACTTGGTCCTAAAGGGAGAACTTTTACCTCCCAGAGGCTTCTTCACACCACAATCTCCATTTTTTTTCCTGTAGTAACGCAAGCGTGTTTGCATGTGTTGACATGTATTTTGAACGCACTGCAGTGTCTTTTAAATGCATTTAGTTTCTTCACTGAAACATCTTTATTTTATAATCCAGAAGTGGAATGGGGAAGAATCATCAAAGGGAGGAGACTTTTTATGTGTGTGTGTGTGTTGCATTTATGTGCGTTGGAAAAAATTGCAGCATGCTGTACTTGCTGCACTCAACACAACACAAGGATGTGAACTGCTGTCCTTTGAAAATATTGTTTGGTCTGTCTATGGCTGTGCGGTGGGAATGCATTCCAAAAATGTATCTGCCCATGGAAGGAAAATTATATTTGAAATATATTTTAAAAATATTCTTCCCAAATATATTGACCTATATTTGAACGTCTACAATTTTGGCCATATTCAATATATTTCAATAAATATATATGTACTGCATGTTGAAATGCGTTTTTATTACAAAATATATGAAAAATATTTTGAAAAATGAATTTCAAATATACTGTATGTCTTTAAAAATACATATCTACATTTTTGGAATGCATTTACAAATATATGTTCAAATGACTTTTTTATATGTTAAAAAAAAAAATCTGAAGAATATATTTAAAAAAAATACAATTTTGGCAATTTTCAATATATTTCTTTATATATATTGAAATATATTTTAATATTATTCCCAAATATATTGACATATATTTGAAATGCTACAATTTTGGCCATATTCAATATATTTCAAAATATCTATCTATCTATCTATCTACTATCTATTATCTATCTATCATCTATTATATATATTTATATACTAGAATGTTGAATTGCGTTTTTATTACACAAAATATGAAACATATTTTTTAAAAATGCATTTCAAATATACTGTATGTCTTTAAAATACTTATCTACATTTTTGGCATGCATTTACAAATATATGTTAAAATGGCTTTTTTATATGTTAAAAAAAAAAAATCTGAAGAATATATTAAAAAATATAAAATTTTGGCCATTTTCAATATATTCCTTTATATATATTGAAATATATTTTAAAAATATTATTCCCAAATATATTGACATATATTTGAAATGCTAAAATTTTGGCCGTATTCAATGTATTTCAAAATATATATATATTTTATATTTATAAATATCTATCTATCTATCTATCTATCTATCTATATTATATATATATATAATATATTTATATACTGCATGTTGAATTGCGTTTTTATTACACAATATATAAAACATATTTTTAAAAATTCATTTCAAATATACTGTATGTCTTTAAAATACATATCTACATTTTTGGAATGCATTTACAAATATATGTAAAAATATATGTAAAATGACTTTTTTATATGTTAAAAAAACAAATCTGAAGAATATATTTTAAAAATGTATTTTTAAATAATATATTCTTTAGATTTTTTTTTGACATATAAAACAGTAATTTTAACATATATTTTTTACATATATGTAAATGAATTCCAAAAATGTAGATTTGTACTCTTAAAGACATACAGTATATTTGAAATGCATTTTTAAAAATATTTTTCATATATTTTGTAATAAAACGCAATTCAACATGCAGTAAATATATATATTTATATATATTTTATATATATATATTTATTTTTTTATAAATATATATATTATATTATTTTTTAAAATTGTAATATGCATTTCAAATTGTATTTCAATATATTTGGGAAGAATATTTTTAAAATATATTTCAAATATATTTTTCTTCCATATGGGTGCTGTTAGGAGGCGAATAGATGTTAACCCTATGGCTCCATGTACACTAGCGCTTTTTTTGTAGGCCCAAACGCTGGTAATAGCGTTTTTTTAGTAGCGTTTTAGGAGCATTCACATTTTATTAGCATTTTAACAGTACAAAAAATGCTGTTAAGAGTGTTTTTTGTAGCGTTTTTAGTGTTTTTTTTTTTTTCTGCTCTCAAAATGCTCCGCAAAACTCTACAAAAACGTTTTTTTTTTTCTGCTCCTAAATTTTAGATGCAGGTTAGCGGTTTCTGTATGCTAATTATATATATGTGTTTATGTATGTAGATATATGTATATATATATGTGTATATATATATGTGTGTGTGTGTGTGTGTGTGTATATATATATATATATATATATATATATATATATATATATATATATATATTACGCTTGCCAACCCGCATCAGTGTATTTACTGCAACAGGTCGGCTCGTATGGGCACCGTAACGTACCTGTACTTTGCGGCTGACTGTACTGTCATTCACTGCAGCACAAGTCCCTCTTCTGTCATTTTGTCAGCCGATCAGAGGGTTCTGGCCATAAATCATTGACCAGGCCCTGCCTGTTTGGCTGTGAGAATGACAGAAAAAGAGCTCTGTGTTGGTAAACAACACAGGGCTCTCTTTATACAGTAGCGATCTGCCATTTTTTTTCTCCCTGCAAAGTGCATTGCTTAGTAAAACAGCACACAGTACACGCAGTAAACATTGTTAGGCACACATTTAACCCCTTGATCGCCCAATATGTTAACACCTTCCCAGCCAGTGTCATTAGTACAGTGATAGTGTATATATTTAGCACCAATCACCGTATTCGTGTCATTAGAGATGTCAGTGGCAGTTAGTGTCAGATTGCTCGCCACACTATCGCAGTCACACTATAAGTTGCTGATCACTTCCATTACTAGTTTAAAAATAACTAAATAAATAAAAATTCCAGTATCTATACCATAGGTTGTAGACGCTATAACTTTCATGCAAATCAATCAGTAAATACTTCATTGGAATTTTTTTTTATATCAGAAAACATTTCAATCAAAATTTGTGAAGAAATTTGTTTTTTTTTTAAACATTTTTTTTGGATATGTTTAATGTCAGAAAGTAGAAAATATTGTTCTTGTTTTTATTAAAATGTTTGGGTCTTTTTTGTTTATATTGCAAAAAATAAAATAACCCAGTGGTGATTAAATGCCACCTAAAGAAAGCTTTATTTGTGGAAAAAAAATGTATATAAATTTTGTATGGGTACAACATTGCATGACCGCGCAATTACCAGGTAAAGTCGCACAGTGCTAAATAGAAAAAAAAAATAGCCTGATCAGGAAGGGGGTAAAATCATCCGGAGCTCAAATGTATATTATATCATGTTATTTATTTCTTTAAACTTTTTATGTTTATTTTTCTGCATTAAAAAAAAAACAAAAATGGTAGATGCATTTTTTCAGCTGGTTTCCAGCAAGAACATCCTCAAGTGATTGTTACTGCATATACAAAGCCTTAAAAGTGCTCATGGGCCCTAACTAGTATTGCTTCTAGGGAGTTTTGTCTGTTTTGTAGAACTGTTTGCCCAATTCTTTTTATTATTAATCTTTTTTTTTTTTCATTTTGTCCCAATCATCTGTTGCTGTCCATATTTTTGTTCCCTTTCTTACTGGCAGAAGCTTACTAACATCCAGTCACTGTGTGTTTCTCTGTGATAGATTCCACGGGTCTCCTATCATATCTGTTGCTGCTAAACCAGGAGGACCTGAAGCTCCGGAGTCTGTGACAGCTCAGGGAATATGCGAGCTTATTGAGGTGAGTAAAGAGACTGCTAAAGTGTTGTTGTTTTTTTTTGCATATTCTTTATTATGTTCTATATAACAAAAAAACTTTTTTTAAAGCATGGTTTTAATTATTTTTTTTAGTCTTATAAAATATTGCAGATGCTATGTTTACCAGTTGCAGCCAACATTCCTCCCAATGACACCAACAGTGAGGCACAATTTCTCCCAATGACACCAACAATGGGGTCTAATGATATCAATGATGAGGCGCAAATCCTCTCACGGACACCAAATATAAGGCATTGTTTATTTCAAACTGAAGTCGGGATCTTTTTTACTCCCATTGGCCACAGTCTGGCCCCCCTAAAGTCTGAAAGGATGGTAAACTGGCCCTTTGGTTAGAATGTTTGGAGACCCCTGTTTTTGGCAATTCCACTCTTGTGGTAACAGTTTGGTGAAGGTTCTTTTCTGTTTTAGCATGTCCATGCCCCCGTGTACAAAGCCAGCTTCATAAAGAAATGGTGTGATGAGTTTGGTGGGGAGGAACTAGAGTATCCTGCACCGAGCCCCGACCTCAACCACACTGAACACCTAATGAATCGGAATGTGGATTGTGGGCCAGGTCTTCTCATCCATCATCAATGCTCACTAATGGGATTTTAGCCAAATGGACACAAATTCTCT